TAAAGTGTAAGGCTTTCTCTCCAGGAGTTTAGAGAACATGGGAGGAGGAAGAAGAAAAAAGTCACCTGTACAAACACCTCATCCAAAGATAAGCCATGGTAAACAATCCTGGGTATTTGTTTGTAACATATGCAGATTTACAAAATTGGAATTGCTCTGATTATTCTTTGTTTACTTAATTTGGCTTTTGTCAAGTATTTCCTCTAAATAGTCTTTTATTTAGTGGCTTTGTAGTATTGCAGCATATGGAATGATTTATTTACTACTCCCCTTCTCATATATTTAGATTATTTCTAGCTATTCCCTATTCTAAATAATTCTGTGAACATAAATTGTACATAAATTGTCCCAATATCTGAATGTTTCCTCAAGATGAAATCTGAGGGATATGATCATTTTTTCCCCCCAAAAATATTTGGTTTAACCCTCCTTGTTATTCCAAATGAAATTAAAACAACTTTGTCTAATTTCAAAACCAAACAGCTAGGAATTTGGGTTTATGACTGACTACCCAGACCCTTTAACTCGTTCCCATGTGCCTTTATGTTCCTCCTGGGTCCACATTGTTCCCAGACTGTCTGTTCTCTGAAATACATTATGCAAATCCAAGCCAGCCCAGTATCCATAGAAACCAAAATCTCCCATCTACCTCAGCCTGTTCCCTAGCAAACAAAACCCAACCCAAGTGACACCCACCAACAAGGACAAAGCATCCAGAACAGAGGGGCTTCCTTCTGCCTAGGGGTCACTGACTCTATCTTGCCTGGTCCTCCAGTCGTTGCTGGGGAAAGGAATGGGTGGCACAGTCCAGCGTTAGAAGCTGCATTTTCTTTTTGAAACCTTGAGAGGAGATGCTTCAGCCCTCAACATGAACAGTTATCTTTTGCCCAATCCAAATAGCTCTGCTGTGGCTGCGATCATATTCATGGTGGCTGTGAGTCAGTATTCGACATCATCTTTAGTCTGGCACACACAAGGACATAAATGACCCATCACTGGAACATGACAAATACAATTTTATTGTGGATGACTGATTACTAATTTTAGGAACAATTTCCCAAGACCTGCTCCTCCCTAGAATAACCTTTTCTATACTTCAGATATTATGACTCTTTGGTTCTTGTCTCCAGACTCAAAACTTGAGGCAGAGCTCCTGGTAACCACACCCAGGTTCTTGAATATTGGTTGGCAGCAGTCCCTGCTACATACAAGAAGTTAGGCTTTTGCTAGTGACACAAATTGTGGATCACAGGACGTTAGAATTGAAAAAGACCTTGGAAAAAAATATGCAAGTGTCCTAGTTTCCCTGCTTACAGAAGTTTATCTAAAGCCTCACAGCTATTTAATAGCAGGGCCAGGCAACATGATAGTAGACTCTCAATTGCAAGTACATACCAGCCCCTATTCCAAATGTTTCATAGATTTGCTTATTTAGTCTCATAACCACCTTGTGAGGGAGGTTATCTCCATTAATCTTAGGCTATCATGCTATCTCCATCTTTCACATAATGAAACTAGGGCACTGAGAAGTTAAGTAAATCTCCCAGGGTCACACAGTAGATGTGTCCAAGTTTGAGCCCCGCCCCTCCAACCCCATATACCAACGTCTTAACCACTACGCTATTTACATCACTAGATACCATTGTGAGGACTGAGAAAAATGTATCTTGAGATCTCAGATTTAAGATTTATATTCTAATATCAGGAGCAACTAAATTCCACTTAGTTTTTTCCTTTTTTTTAAAACCCGAGGGTGAAGTATTTAAACAAGAATAAAAAACTAAATCCACAAGTTGAACTGACTGCATGAAAACACTTATGACAAACCTCTCCCTTGAGGGGAGGAAATTATTTTATTAATATCCTTTATTTTTCTCCTCTTGTTGGGTTGCTCAGAGATCCAAATCTAGAGTATCTGCTCTTAATTTATAGTGTACTGGGAGAACCAGATATAGTCATAGACAGAATATTGCAGTGCACAGAATATCTCTGGAAGAATTTGTTAAAAAAAGATTTTATTTTTAGAGAGGGGGGGAAGGGAAGGAAGGAGAGAAACATCCATGTGTGGTTGCCTCTTAAGCGCCTCCTACTGGGGAACTGGCTCACAACTCAGCCATCTGTCTTGACTGGGAATCAAACCAGGGACCCTTTAGTTTACAGGCTGGCACTCAATCCACTGAGCCACACCAGTCATGGCTGGAAGGATTATCTTTTAATGGTATTACAATTGCCCACAAGGAGAGGAGCTGAGTGGGAAAATGTGGGAGAGACTGTTCTAGTACTTTCTGTACCTTTGGAATTTACTGCCATGTAAATGGATTATCTAATCAAATAATACACAAAAATTAGAGACAGGATCCCACTTGTTTTTTTGTGTATGTTGCATGTCTGTATGCATAACTCTGAATCCTATTTTTCCTGGTTATTACAACATAACCATTTTCCCACGTAATTGAAATTTTTCATAAACAAAAGTTTTATGTACACATCCTTGTTAAAAATCTCAAGAAACTTGGGCACTTCAAATACAGATAACGTAGATTTCTCAATTTCCTTTGGAATTCTTCATTATTGTGAATCATAACATCGACATTCAGAACCTCCCACTTTCCAAAGAATTAGCCAACATGTATAAAGTCTGTATTTATGTACATGGCATTTGTACCAAAAAATTACCTCATTTAATCCCCACAACAGCCTAAGGTAGGAATCATAATCCTCATTTTTAGATGAGAGCAGAGATTCAAAAGGTACAGGCAGCTCCTAAATAATACAGTTGGTATTTGGGACCAAGAATGTGAATTTCAGGTTCTGGGCCATGTTCTCCCTACCAAAGATGCTCCCAGTTTTGTGGAATTTTCAGGGACAACTTCCCTGACCTCCAGCACACACATTCACCAACAACTTGTTAGGCCCCAGCAGCGGGCCTGGATCTAGCAGGAAAAAGGTACAGACGATGTGCTTCCTTCCTGCTCTCAAGACTCCCTTACTCAGAGGACAGCAAAGGCGGCTCTGCCACACAAGTGACCTTCCAGCAGATGGAACAAGTGTGCAGTGGCAGCCAAGGGAGCCCTGGGCAGGTCACAGAGGCACCACCTGAGTCCAGGCCGACTGAGGGCAATGGCCCCGCAGGAAGAAGCCGCAGAGGCGGCTCCCAGGGAAGTGCATGTGCCTGGGGCTCCGGAAGGCTGGGGAGAATCTGTGCAGGGAATGGCGGCGAGGGAGGGCTGCAGAGAAGGCTCTCGAATGTCACTCTAAGGAGCTTGGAAATTCCAGGATGGCACAGTCAGTCCATGTGAAAGGTCCTGGTACTGCTATTTCAGCGACTATGGGGGTCATGAGAGACTCAGTCTGATCAACACACAAACTCTGCTGAAACTTCATCCTCTACAAGCAGGCGGAAGCAAGGAAGGAGATGGCCACAGCACACTTAATTCTGCCCAAAAAATAACTCATGGCTGAATGTGGGAGTGACAGGGAGCCAGGGAGGTCAATGAGAGACACCTAGGTGATCTCTTCGCTCGCTTCCTACGGCTGCTGTTGCCAAGTGCTCTCACGTGGGGCGGCACTGCGCAGGCGCCCTGCACCAGACCTTCAGATGGCAGAGACTGTCTCCATTTTCACAGATGGGGACACGAACTCAGGGAAGTTAAGCATGTGCCCGAGGAGACACAGCAAGCAAGTGGTGGGGTTAATATAACCACATGTCAGGACATTCCAATTCAAACCGCCAGCTGTATGAAGAAAACCAGGCATTTGCATCTGAAGGGTCATGAGAAGCCCAGGCTGGCAGGGGCGTGTAAGGGACAGAAGTCAGGGAACTGTGGGTCCGAACACTGCCCTCGAAATGAACTGTACCGGGGCAGGTAGGGGTGGGGGGCCACTAGGGCGACAGGTGAGACTGAGGAGAATGCGTCCGGCAGCTGCACAAGGGATGAACCGAGGTGGGAGGAGCTGGAGAGGGGGAGGCTGCCAGGGGGTCTGCTGCCTTCGGCCCAAATGTAGCCATGAGCAGGAGTAGAATAGGGACAAGCAAGAGTGGATGGGGACTGAAGAGGGTCCGAGGAAAGAAAGAACAGATTCCTGGACTAGGGCTCCCAGTCCATAGAACAACTGCCCCTGCCTGAGCCAAAATCTACAGCTTGGGATACATGGGTTTAAGGGCAGTGTCAGAAGTGAGAGTTCTGAGATATACAAACAACAAAAGAAAAAGTTAACAAACTGGACATCATCAAAATTAAAAATTTTGTGTTTCAAAGGGCATCTCTGAGAAAGTGAAAAGACAACCCACAGACTAACATAAAAGTTTTGTAAATCATGTATCTGACATGGGACTTGTATCTAGAATGTATAAAGAACTCTTACAACTCAATAATTAAAAATACAAATAACCTAATTAAAAATAGGTAAAGGATCTGAAGTCAGTTCTCCTGAAAAGACATACCAGTGGCAAATTAGCCCATGAAAAGATGCTAAATATCATTAGGCACCGGGGAAATGCAAACTGAAACCGTAATGAGACAGCAGCTCACCGCCCTAGGATGGCTAAGTTAGAAGACACGCAGTAACAGTGTTAACAAGGATATGGCGCAGTCGAAATCCTCATGCACAGCTGGTAAGAATGTAAAATGGTGTAGCCACCTTGGAAAAGACTGGTAGTCCCTCCAAAGGTTAAACAGAGTCACCACATGATCCAGCCGATCTATTCCTAGGTATATACCCAAAAGAATGGAAAACATATGTTCACACAAAAACTTGTACGGGAATGTTCAAGCATTTTCATAATGGCCAAAAAAGTGGAAACAATCTAAATGCCCACCAATTGAATGGATAAATAAAATGTAGTCAATGCATACAACAGATTATCCAATAATAGAAAGGAATAAAGTTGAATACATGCAACACCATGAACTTTTGCTTACGAGAACACTAAAAGGAAAAGGTCAAAAAACCTGGGTTTTATCTCAAGTATCATCTTTATTTTTGTAAAAATGGGTCTAGGCTATAGAAATTATTCTATAAAAAAACTCTTCCAACATCTAAGGTGGAAATATAAAACACTTCAAGAAGTTTATTATAACAAAAAAATTTCTGGTCAAGACGACGATATAAAAATTACATTAGAAGGGCTGAATACTTTGAGAGAGTGCACACTGGCCTCAGATGTGTTTGGTATCAAAGTGCCTTGAGCTTTTCTGAGTCTAAGTGCCTTTAAAGGGGACTGCTCACCGGTTCGCCAACATCCTCCCTCTCCCAACCTGGTTGCCTTCGCTCAGTGGCATTTCCTATCATGTCCCTCGTGTGGCCCCTACCAAAGTATGCACCACGGCTATAACCAAGTTGTAGTTTTGAATCATCATTTCTGTTTAAAATGTCCATTTCTGTGAACCAGAGGTACAGGCAGGAAAAAGGAATCCTTGGTCAGGAACGTGCCACCCCCAGGGAGAATACCGCGACTGTAGAATGTTCCCTTTTCCAATGCCGTCCCCAGGACATGGTGATTCAAACATTAAAAACTACCTGTTGGCATTTGTGAGGTAAAAAAGGTGGAGGTACAGGGGGAGAAGAAATTGGGATAAGAACACTAAAGGCAGCAGAGCAAGAATAAGCAGGCTGAGGTCAGCAGACACATCTCGCTCGCTTCTCACTCCCTGTGCACCCCGGACTGCACCCTCTCTCCTTCCCTCCTCGTACCTTTGTAACCGTGACCAGAGGGACTTTCCTTTACAGCAATGAGAGAAGCATATCACCTTCCAGTCCTGTTCTAATTTACAGATGAGGAAACTGAGGACCTGAAAGGAAACGGGCCCAAACTGGTTTTAAAGCTGTATTTTTAAGCACTTTGAAATCCTTGGTTCAGGGGAAATTGTCCAAAAACTATCCAGAGACAAATCAGGGTTGATCTGATAGGCATCCTTGCCTTGAACCTTGAGGGGCTGCAGGGAGGCTCCGTGAGGCAATTTTAAAATACTGGTTATTAGTGACAAGATACGCCAAGCCCTGGTTCAGCCCCAAAGCCATGGCCAGGGGCCTGCATTAGCTGTATTTCGCTATTTTCTGTATCCTTAATACTCCGAAATGTGGAGCTCACTGACCATGGGGAACTGCCCCTCCTGGGGCTAAACTATCCGGTCCTACACCTGTCCACCCTGTACCTGCCTCACCTGTTCGTTCTTGTGGAAACCACAAGTCTCCCCCCTATGCCCCCTCCACTCTCTCTTGCTTCCTAGGGGACCTGGTGCTTCCCTGTGCGTGCCGCCCACCCCCAAATTGCAAGGCCTCTCTTGGCAACTTTAACAAACTCTTTTCAATGGCAGTTGTCTCCTGGTCTGTTGGCCTCACCACACCTGAATAATAAAACCTACATTTAAAAACTTTTAAAACAGGTCTACTCTATAGGCAAACATTGTCCCCAGAAATGGGGATATTAGGATTTAGAAAATTCACATCCTGCCATGACTCCAGGGAGAGCCTGGCTAGCAAGATGGTCTGATGGAGGACTTTCAACTGTGGGTAAAGACCAAAAGTGAAGAGGGAGGCTTGGGGCCTGGAGCCGCGGAGAAGAATCAGTCAGTAGCAAGATGCTGGCAAGAAGGCAGGAGGTAGAGGTGCCCAGGTGAGTGGGCTTTAGGAAGTGGGGCAGAAAGAAAGCAGGACCATGGCATACACCCGGGCAGCATCTGGCAGGCTCCGGGCTGGCCTCAACCATCTAACTCCTCCTTGATGCTGATGCGCAGGGGGCAAATGCGCAGAGGCTTGGGGGGACCATCCCCCCGTGTGCCCCCCAGGTAGAAGTAAGGCCGCACCTCCCCAAAGCGGGCATGGAAGGTGTAGAGGTGGTTGCGGCGCTCTGCATCATAGAAGGACAGCTCGCCCTCCTCACATTCCAGCTCCACACGCAGGCGGCGTGGGATGGAGGGGACCACTGGCGACGTGGCCGGGTCTGAGGTCACACAGCGGTCACCCTCCACCCCCTGTGTGCGGCACAAGTACCAGAAGCCAGAGCGAGTATCCTGGTAGCAGCTGTGGGAGTGGCCCCCGGCACCAGCATCCTGGCGCATGCGCGCCACGCCCACCCGCCAGCTGGGCAGCGCCCCCAGGTCCACCTCCCAGGCGTGGGAGCCGTGGGAGAAGGCGCGCGAGCCCAGGAGGCAGGGTGCCGAGGAGAAGCGCTCCGGGTTCTCCACCTGCACTCGGTAGCCGTGGTTGGTGACACTGGTGAGGTCATCGGACACGGACAGCCAGCCAGCTGCGGTGTTGGGATCAAAGCTGAAGGGCACTGAGAGCAGAGGGGGAAAGCGGGGTGAAATGGGCGAACCTCACATCCTGCCCTTCTGCCACGCCAGCTGATGCCCCAATCCCCCATCCTGACCAACAGTGTCCCACTTGGCCCTGGCCCAGGGAGGGAGCTGTCCTGGGCTGAGGGGCAGTGTTACGGTTTGAAATGAGCCCCAACAAAAAAGGTATATATGGAAGTCCTAACCCCCAGTACCTCAGGTGACCTAATTTGTTTCAGATGTAATTAGACTGGAATACAGCGGGGGCCTAATGCAATGACTGTTCTCCTTACAAAGAGAAGCAACACAGTGAGGGGAGGTCGCATGACCACAAGGGCCGAGCCTACCATGGGGCAGCCCTAACCAGGGACTGCCTGCACACACCAGAAGTCAGGAAGACACAAAGCAGGACCTTCCGCTACAGGATCAGAGGGTGCATGGCCCTGCTGACATCTTATTTTGGACTTTTGACCTCCAGCAGTGTAAGAATAAACTTCTGTCACTTTAAGGCACCCAATTTGCAGTCTTTGGTTATGACAGTCACAGGATGCTAGCACAGGTAGGGATCCAGATGCTAACACAACTCCCATTCCGTCCTAGAGAAGCAATCAACATTCCCTGGGTCACTGACATTTCTCCCAGTAAAATCATGAGGTCTTAAGTCAGTTTGGGCAGCTACAAAAGTACTACAAATGGGGTGGCTTAAACAGCTTATTTCTCACAGTTCTGGAGGCCTGAAGTCCCAGATCAGGGCGCCCTCATGGCCAGGTTCTGGTGGGAGCCCTCTTTTTGGCTTACAGATGGCCATTTTCTTGCTGTGGCCTCACAAAATGGAGAGGAAGCCAGCTCTCGTGTCTCTTCTCGTAAGAGCTGAATTCCCATCAGAAGGCCCCGCCCTTATGATCTCATCTGATCTGAATCACTTCCCAAAGGCCCTGCCTCCAAGCATCACCACTCTGAAGGTTAGGACTTCAACAAAAGAATTTGGTGGCGGTGGTGATGGGGGCACAGACATTCAGCCCACTGCACATGACACTGTGACCCTGTGGGTTGGAACCACCTTGAGAGAGGCAATCCTGAACTGAGGAGGTCCTTCATTATATACACGATATAGTTCTGAATAGAGAGCAGTCAGTTTCTTTTTCTGAAGAGGTGGCTGTGTGTCAGGACTCAAAGGAGGAGGAGCTCTGCCAGGAGGGGTTTGAGCAGTGGGGTGAGGAGCACGCTGGGGGCCTGTCTGAATGCGGCTGGAGGAGGAATTAGTCAAAGGATGACACGGTCCAATGAAATGGGCGGCTGGAGAACATGAGTTCGCCTGGTTCTCTGTCACACCTAAAGCGCCCCCCTCTACTTGTACCACCTGCCAGCATCTCCGCTCACCAGATTCAACAGACGTGACCATCTTCCTCCAGACACGGTACTGTAGGGAGTCCAGGTACTTGCAAATGTCGATGAGCATGCCAGGCTGTATGGGTTCTGGCTCCATGGTGCAGAAGAGGCTGGGAAAGGAGAACTGGGCCTAGTGGGCAGGGCCAGGGCCATGCATCCTGGGCCTAACTATGTCAGCTGAATGTAACAAACAACAGGACTTCTTCACTTGTCACAGGCCTAAATTCTCCACCACCACACCCAGGACAAGCCCAGACTGGGCTCTGATGGAAGATGAGCCAGGAGCCAACTGGGCGGCGCATACCGCTTCAGGATTCAGTACCAGGGCTCCCCCTGCCCAAGCTGAGATAAATAATGAATAGGAGTTTCTCAGACATGGTTCCCATCCTTGTGGGTAGAGATCACACTTACACATCTGCCCATAGGATGTCTGAGTTGAAAGGGACCTTAACGGTTCTCTAGTCCAACAGTATGAAGGTGTCACTGGCTTTTGCTTGAGTACCTATAGTGACAGGAAACTCCTTACTGCCCAAAGCACTTCTTCCATCTTTGTACACAGTTCTTCCTTACTCATTCCTGTGTACAACTGTCAACATAGACCAGTGTATATCCCGAGGCTCTAAGAGGGAGGAGATGACCAAGAAACAAGCTTAAATGTTGGAGTGACCTACTGAGAACTAAGAACCACGTGCAGGATGGTACTCTCTCTCCCCACCCAGTGGGTGGTAATGCCCCACACTCAGGAAAACAACACGGTACCAGGGGGCTACCTTGAAAGAGGGCTCTCTCTGCATGGCCAGTCCCTACCGCTCCCTCTGTATTACCCCCAGCTGGCTCTATTACCTGCCTGGCCCTGGAGCCCCCGGAGTTTGCACCCCTGGTATTCCTGCCTGCTCTTTCCCTCCCTTACATCAGCCTTGGCAACTTACCGGCGTTTTCGGCTCTTGTGTTTCTGAAAGAGAAAAAATCAAGACACAAACATAGACATAGAGAAAACATTTAAGTTTCTGACCTCAAAAGGAGCCATATATCCCATGTTAAGATGGCAACATCCCCCAAATTAACCACAGACTCTGCAGTTTCTGTCAAAATTCCAGCTCACTTCTTTGCAGAGACTGATAAACTGATCCTAAAATTCATCTGAAAATTCAAAGGACCCCAGGATAGCCAAAACAATCTTGGAAAAGGACAAAGCTGGTAGTTCACACTTCCCTATTTAAAAAGCTTGGAAAAAGACAAAGCTGGTAGCGCACACTTCCCTATTTAAAAAGTTATTAAAAGCAACAGTAAACAAGTCAACATGGTACTAACATTAAAGACAGACGTATGGGTCAGCGGATGTTGAAAGTTTAGAAATAAACCCTTATGTTTACTGGCAACTGGCTATCTACAAGGGTGCCAAGACCATTCAATAGAGAAAGAATGGTCTATAACAAGTGGTGCTGGGACAATTGGATATCCACATGCGAAGGAATGAAGTTGGATTCCCATCTTGTGCCATGTACAAAAATTAACTCAAAAAGGGTCAAAGACTTAAATGTAGAGATAAAACTATTAAACTCATGACCTTGGATTAAGCTATGGTTTCTTGGATATGACACCAAAAGCACAAACAAGCGGGGGGGAAAAAAGAAAGGTAAGTCACATTTTATCCAAATGAAAAACCTTTGTGTTTCAAAGGATGCCATCAAGAAATTGAAAAAAACAAACAAAAAAAACCAAACCCTCATAATGGAAGAAAACATTTATAAATCACATAGCTGATAAAGGTCTAGTATCTACAATATATAAAAAAATCTTACAATTCAACAAAGAAAGATAATCAACCCAATTTTTAAAATGCCTAAAGGACTTGATTGTATATTTCTCCAAAGAAGATATACAAATGGCCAAAAACTACATTAAAAAGATGCTGAATATCACTAGCCACCAGGGAAGTGCAAATCAAAACCACAGGGATACCATTTCATACCCATTATGATGGCTATAATCAAAAGGACAGATAAGTGTTGGCAAAGATGAGGAGAAACTGCAATCCTCGTACTGCTAGTGGGCAAGAAAAATGGTGCACTCTCTTGGAAAATAGCATGGCAGTTCCTCAAGGAACTCTACTCTTGGTTAAAATCTTTTCCGCCTCTTGACCCAAGCAGAGGATGTGGTCTGTGAGCTCCTCCAACCCAGTATTTGGAAGCTACAGAAAGACTGGGTTGCCTGGGGCTGCTGGTCTCCTGCTCCCGACTGGTCCCTGAACATCTAGTCTCTGCCACTGAATGAAGACGAGGAGCTCCTCACCATGAGAAAAGAAACATCATCTTCCTTCATCTCCATCTGCAGCCGGTCGGTCTCATGCATCAGAGTCTTCGTGTCTTCCTTGAGCTGCTTCATCTTCTCCTCTGCCAGAAGCTGCTTCTGCCTTGTCTCCTCGGCTATGGCATCCAGGATGGCCTGCTCCTCCACTCTTAAGAACTCTCGAAGCTTATCAAACTCCTGCCGGATTCGCTTTTCCAGCCAGGCAGCCTTGTCCTGCAGCAGACAGTGGGACAGAGGCACAGAGGATCAGGTACGGAGGGAACCTCAGCCATCACTTAGCCCAGTGGCTCTTAAGATTTTTAGCAAAGGAACCCCACTTTCAAAAGAAACCATTAGTAGAACCCAAGTGGATAAAATATAGATGCAGCTTTCTTGGCACAATTTACAAGTTTAAATTTCAAACTAGTCAAAAGCATAATGGATTTGTTTTGATTAATTCTTTAACAGTTGAAATTGCTGCTTATACATGACAAATCTAGTCTTGTAACCTCCTCCACATACAATGTCCTGCATCTTGTTTAAGTTGCACAACAGCAGAAGAAATCCTGAATCATGAAAAGAATCATTGCAAATAGCAACTATTTTTAAAAAATTATCTGCCTTCCCATCTTAGGACTTCAAATTTGTTTGATCAAGAGGCTTACCAAAAGAGTAGTAGGAAGTGTTTATTTTAAAACAGAATCATTAATAACATGCATACTCTTAATTATAACTAAAAAGAGCTTTTAAAAAGTTTAAACCACAAATGTACTCAAAGAAAAAGCAGAAAAATATTTCTCATCTTGCAATGAGTCAGACCTTTCTTACTTATATGACGCTGAGAAGCCTCAAAGAAAGAATGAAGTAACTGAATACATATAAAAGTAAGAAGTTTTGCATGGCAAGAGACCACTAATAAGTGTAAATACGTATTTATGGAAATATACAAATTGTATATTTCATGATGACTTGGAAAAACACCTCAAAATGTGTGCTCTAGCAATGGCAGGTTAGTAATGCACAGCTTTGGACTGAAAATTCAATATATGTTTATGGCACTGAAAATATGATGATAAAAAGATTCACTGACAAAGTGAAAATGACCCAAAAAAGTGAAAATGACTTACTGGAAAAAATATGACAAACTAGGAAAAATGTTTCTGACATACATATATATATGAATATATATAAGAACGTATTATTCTTAATAAGCAAGCACTCTTGTGAATCCACAAGAAGAAAAGATAAATATTTCAAGAAAAAATGACTGTGAGGAGGCATTCCCAGGACTGCAAATGGTTATTATACTTGAGAAAGCATGTACAAACTTACTGATAATCTGAGAAATGCAAATGAGCAGAGACGGCACTGTTGAAATACCAAGCTAAAAAGATTGCTAATATATAGCGGGAGGGAGTGAAATCTGGGACAATTCTTGTCACACAGGAAGATAAAAAACAGAGTAGGCAGGAAAAACCAGCCAGAAGACTTAGCTCACTGAAGGGACAGAAAGAAGGGCAGAGTGGCTGAAATGGAGCGTGCGGCCACGCCTGGGAGGAGACACAGGTGAGAGGCAGGCAGGGGTTCGAGGAGGGCCTCGGAGGCCACGGTGAGGAGCCTGGATTGTATTATGCATGTCGTGGGAGCCGCTGGACAGTTATAAGCCGGAGTGACACGATCGATGCATTTTCCTCAAAGGGCAGTCTCGTCCGTGGAGACAGGATTGCAGAACAAGAGCAGAAGGAAGGCTGGGGCCCAGATTGCTGATGGGAGGGACACGGAGAGTGAGTGGGAAACAGGAGTAACTAACGACTCCAGGTCATCACTGGCTTGAGCACTCAGGGAGATGGAGAAGTGTGGCACTTAAGTTAGTCTGAAACCGTAGTGCAGATGGGGAAGGTGGCTTTTTTTAATCCTTACTTGAGGACATTTCACTGATTTTAGAGAGGGGAGAGGGCGAGAGAGAAGCATTGATGTGAGTGACAAACATCGATCCACACGTGCCCTTACTGTGGGAGACCAAACCCGCAGCCTAGGTAGGAAGGTACCCTGATGGGCATAAAATGCCCAATCTTTTGGTGAACAGGATGATGCTCCCATCAACTGAGCCCCCCGGCCAGGGCGCAGGTGGCGTTTTAAGCCACTTCTGTGGCTGCTGGCATGGCCATGCCCAGGTATTTAAAGAGGCCCTGGCATGACAACCACAATCAGTGTTCAAGAGCATGGCTATGCTAGACCATCAGGGCTGGGGAAGGCTGACTCTGCATCAACAGCCACGGCTGGGGCCCACCCACCTCACCTGTCCCCCAGATGGCCCTGGGCAGCCCCGGTCTCCCACGCGGCCCGAGCACTCCCTCACCTGATTGTGCTTGGCAATGGACTGGTAGGAGTTCCGCATGGCCAAGAAGGCCTTGGCTTTCTCCCGCAGCGAGTTCTCCATGTTCCTGCACTTGGCCTGATGGGAGGAATGAAAGGGAGGCAGAAGGCAGGTTAGAGGTGGAGGCCAGATGGGCAGAACGACACAGTTACAACTGGAGCTTCACTTCCACAAGGAAATTCCACTCAGTCACAATTATTGAACCCAGTCCACTCATAGACTGCACGGAACAGCAGCAAGTATGGCCCTTCCCCTGAACCTGATGTTTACAGCATAAAGGGCCCTCAGATTCCTCTAACCCAACCCTGTTGTTTTACTCCCACTACAGATAGGGAGACAGGGCTGAGGAGGCCAAGGGGCCTATTCCCTCTCAAGTAGGTCACAATACAGAAAAGAGGGGCTGCACCCTGCTCAGGCCTAAAGCTGGTCCAGGCTCAGCTATGAATCCTGAGTCATCCTGAGCCGTGTGTGTAACTGTAAGACAGTGTGTCCACAGGCTCCCTTTCTGACTTTCTAAACTGGACTGGCCTGTAGGTCTAAGTTGTTCTTACCAACAGGTCTAATTATAGGGTCATCCAGCTATTCCAATGGGTCCTTGTCTAAACTACACATTTCCCCACATCCTGATATTCTAATTTTGTTTGGATCATGTGAAATACATTAATCACCAGATTAAAATACCTTTTTAATAGTTTTTTTGTTTTTTAAATTTTAACCACTGCTCTAATCCCCTTGGACTCCTTGAGTAACTGGGACTAGTTTTCTGTTTTTTTAAAAAAAGATTTACTTTTAGAGAGAGGGGAAGGGATAAAGAGAAGGAAAGAAACATTGGCGTGTGAAAGACACATAAATTACTTGCTTCTCACACGTCTCCAACACCCTAACTGGGTCCCTGGCCTACAATCCAAGCACGTGCCCTGACCGGGAATCGAACTGGCGACCTTTCGGTTCCCAGGGCCGCACTCAGTCCACTGAGCCACACCAGCCAGAGCAGGACTAGTTTTAGGTTTACTTCCCACCTCCTGTATCCAAGGACTAGCATTTTCTCTATCTTTATCTTTTTCTCGCTACATTCTGAGAAAGCTTTTCAAGTTTATTTTTTATAATAAAAAATAAAAAAATAACAATTCTAATAACAATAATTAGAAATGACTACCATTTATTTAGCATTTATTATTTGCCAGGGACTGCGCTAATCACTTTACAAATTATGTCACTGAATCATCACATTATCCCTATTAGATAAGTACTATTATTAGCTCTGTTTTACAAATGAAAACAACTGAAGCACAGCAGGGGGAAGCGACAAGCCCAAGAGCACACACAGCTCGTATGTGGCAGACTAAGAACATAGTAGGCAGCCTCTAAGACGGCCCCAGTGGTCCCTCACTCCTGTGAGATAGGTTTGTTGTTTTAAGCTGCCCCTTACTTTATTTATAGCTACTGGCACTCTAGGCATTGGGATGTTGAGAAAGTGCCAGGTGCCCACCCACGGCCAGAGGCCTCCCCGCAGCTACATAATACACGGGCCAGGTGGGGAAGCAGATGACCAACATGGGCGATCTCAGGACTCCACATCCATGGCCAGGCCTTGGGCTCCTGCACCTCTAATCTGAGTGGGCAAAGCTCCAGGTTTCCAGAGTTTTCTCCATACTTGTGCTTCTCAAAGAGGCAAGGGCCACACCCTGCTGGCGGAAAGGGTGCAAGGCCTAAGAAGTGGGTGGGGCTGTCTTGAGAACGTCGTGTAACCCTTGTTTGCACACTTTTTGTGTACATTCTCTGTTCTCCCATATCAGGCCCCCTGGGCCGGCTCTGATGACACAGACAGCCTCCACAAGAGTCATCCAGGTGGGGACCCTGAGGCGACACCCGCAAGCTGGCAGGAGGAAGAGGGGCGGGACTGGACACATTCAGCACTGGCAGGTTGGAGTGGCCGGAGTAGGGGGCTCAGCGGGGGTGGGTTCCAGGGCTGGCTTGGCCACACCACGTGCACGCTGGACCACCTCCCTCACACAGCCGCGCTTACCCGAAAGTCTTGGGCAGTGGTCTTCACTGTCTGCACGCGGTGTCCCTGGTGCCGGAGGTCAGCCTGGCACGAGCAGCACAGTAGCTCCTTGTCATCGATGCAGAATAGGTTTAACTGGCCGCGGTGCACGCGGCAGAGGCGCGGGGAGCGGTGGCCCTTCCAGCGCGGGGCTTCGGCCTCCTCGCGCAGCAGCTTCTCTACCAGGTTGTTGAGGGTGTGGTTGGTGCGCAGGTCGGCGGAGGAGGCGCGGTCCTTGCACACCGGGCAGGTGGGCGCCACCTGCGCCTCCCAGCAGCTAGTCACGCACTCGCGGCAGAAGTTGTGGCCGCAGCGCAGTGTCACGGCATCCCGGAAGGGGTCGTAGCAGACCGCGCAGAGCAGCTCCTCCTTGAAGGAGCGGAAAGGCCCTGGGGACACCGCGGGACCCGGCTCCATATCAACCACAGACAGCAACTTTCGCTTCCCCTTCTCCCACCCACCTCGTGCTTCCAGGGGCGCCTGGGTGAGCGACACTCAGCCCCTTTCGCTCAGAGAGCTGAAAGACAGCGGCGCGAGCCAATCCTGCGGGGTATGCTTAGAGGCTCCGCCCCACTTCCGGTCTGCGCGGAAAACCCCAGAAGAGCGAGGCAGGGCTAGTCGTCTCTGTTGCCCCCGCCCACAGGGCAGACTGTCGGGATTTGGGGAGGAAGAAACTGGGGAGCCGAGCATTAGGACTTCCGTGTCTCTGGAAAGCTGCTTCCGATTTGGAACGGGAAATGAAAACTAGGAACCCCTTCCCTAACCATCCCCCTTCATGTTAGTCCCGCGAGGTAGGAAAAGCGAGAGTTCCCCGCTTCCTGGATCCGAAGTAGAGTCTGGGTCTTAAAGCGCGTTTAGTGTTTTCACCAATTAGGACTTATAGTGCCGTTTCAAAGATTTGTGGCCACTGTTGCATAAGTTGGTTACTTTATTTAGGCCAGTCTTATTACCCCCTGGGGTAAGGAGGAAACAGGTGAAGGAAGACCCCATTCTTGTTCCCTGATTCAATAAGTGGGCAAGTCACAATCTTTCAAAATCTATTTCCTTGTGGGTAGAGGGACGCTAAAATCTCTTCTCTCCACGAGAAGTGAGGATTAAAGTGAAATAAGTAAAAAAAGTTCCCATGACATTAGGCAGGTCCTCGTTAAAAGAGAGTAGGGACGTCTCCAAAGTTATCACTGGGAACTAGAATTTGTCGTGGTAAAGTAGGCCTGAATCTCTCCACTTCCTCATTTCTGCCTCAGTTTGATCATTTTACAGCCTTCAGATGTAGAATTCCTTCCTCTGATTTGGAATGAAACGCTTCCATTCCTGGTTTCTGTTGGAAGACGATTTCCATATGTCTCATGTTTCTGTATGGAGCAGAGACATTGACTGCCTCTTTTCGCTTGTCTTTCCACGGATGTTTTTGTGGTAAACAGCCTCAGAAGGCAGAAATAATGTCTCTCTCCAGAAAAAAAGTCTGGCGATCTTCTCTCCATTATGAAGTATTCAGGTTCCCCCAGCTTCAGGTCTTTTAAGCTCTCCTGTAGTGCAACCTCTTGTGGCCTTCATCACATGGGCTCTTGGGAATTAAGGCTCAGGAAACTGGCCCAAGTGGTAGTCTGATTACTGCTATTGCTGTTAGTAATAAACTGTCCTTTGTCTCTGGCCTTGGAGTCTCATCTACTGGAACTCATAAAACTGGCAGGCTAACTTGTTAGTTTGCAAGTAAGCTAAACTTTTCCACCTTTTATATTTCTTGACAGTTTTCTTCCAAGATTTTCCTTAGAATAATCCTTTCCCCACAATGTGAAGGGAATGAATACCACTAATTATTTTGCCTTCTACAGTGTTTCTTATACATGATTCATGGCCCTCCTACCTGGACGTAACCACTGGGGTCCCCAAGAGAGATTCCATATAAATTTTAGGGTGGATTTTTTTTTCTATTTATGCATGAAATACTTTTGGGGTTGCATTAAATCTGTAAATCACTTTGAGTAGTCTTGACATCTTAACAATATTGTCTTCTAATTCATAAATGGAAGGATATCTTTCCGTTTGCATCCTATTCTTTCAGCAAGTTTGATAGTTTTCAGTCTACAAGTTTTCCACCTCTTTGGTTAAGTTCATTCCTAATTATTTTATTCTTTTTGATACTACTGTAAATGAAATTCTTAGTTTACTTTTTGGATAGTCATTATCTGCCTTTTCTTTAAAAAAAAGAAAGGAAAAGAGAGAAAGAAAGATAGAAAGAAAAAGGAAAAGACAAGACCTGGCTATATTGTTACATTAAGCTTGCTCTCTTGCAAGCTAGTAGACTTTTGAGCTGAAGAGCAGTTGCTTCCTATAGGAGGGATGTATGTTTTCCCGTCCCTGTGCAGTCAGCCTTCCTCACATTCCCTGCTTTGCTTCTACAGGCATTTGGGTTTTGGACCCCTTGTTTGGATGTCCCCAGTGAGGGTTACACCCTGCTGCAATTCATTGTGAAGAAGCTAGGGTGGTAAAATACTCTGGTACAGACAGGCAACTTAGCAACTTGAGAAAAGTGAAATCAAAGCTGATTTCCCATGTTCTTGAAATTTATCTAGAAGCACCCAATTATTTTATTGCAAATATTTGAATAAAAATTTTTCTGAAATAATAGTGTGTGCTTTTTTTCTCTAAAATATAGGATGCAGAACATAATTTCAACTTTCCTCCATGATGTCCAAAGTAGACAATAGTTACCGTGCTGCACCAGTAATAAAGGGGTACGCTCAGGACATAGTGAAGCACGGAGAGTTGTTTGCCCTGTAAGTGGCCGCATTTGCCTGTGATTGGAGGGCGCTTGGATTTGCTAGGCATTTTTTGTTTCTTTTTAAGAGGTTCCTCTTGTACTCACAATGATGTCTGCAGCAATTCGCTCTGACTTCCTAGTGGATGATTCCAGTGGAGCGTGGGCTGGGAGCAGAGAGCCACAGTTGTCAGAGCTGCCTAGGTCAGCAATGGCAAGAAAAGGTTCACACAGTCACTCCATTGCTTTAGAGCTTAGTCACAGGCTGCAGGAACCCGGTGAGCTCACTCACAGGTGAGAGTAAGGGACTGAGAGCCAAGAAGGCCATAGTCACAGCAGTCACGGAGCTGACTCGGACTGGGCAAGGCGGGAGGGCGGGCTCCACTTCCACGCAGGCACTCCATGGAGCGCGCTGCGGACCTGACAGCAGTGCCCCGGGCTGTGGAAACTGCCCGGCTTCGGCGGCACTGAGGCTCTGCCTGTGGAGCTATGATGGAAAAATACAAACATTCTTTTGCCTTCTCCATCTGTTCTCCCTCTTGAGTATCCAAATTAATTTCTCAAAGGATTTAATACAGTTTTATTTTTCCCAAGAAAATTCATTTTGGATTATGTCCAGGAATTATTTTTTTCTCTTTGTGGAAAGATTTTATTTGTTGTGGCTTTTTTTCACAATGAATATTTTCAAAGACAATATTGGAGAGAACAGTATAATTAACCTCCATACACCTATCATTCAGCTTATGCCAGTTACCAACTTCACTATTTTTGTTTCAGTTCTCCCCTCCACACAGGGTAGGGGTTGTGGAGTACTTTAAAATAATGATTATTTTTATTTCAGGGACACATTCCCCCTCAAAGAGTTTATTTATTTATTTTTAGAGAGGGGAAGGGAGGGAGAAAGAGGGAAAGGTCAATGTGTGGTTGCCTTTCGTGGGCCCCCTACTGGGGACCTGGCCTGCAATCTGGGTGTGTGTCCTAGACTGGCAATCGAAATGGCGACCCCCTGGTTCTCAGGCTGGCAGTCAATCCACTTAGCCACACCAGCCAGGGTTCAGGGACACATTTTTTTAATAATAAAATTACAATAGGACAGAATACTTTCCATTTATCGTCATCCATGAGCCATAGCACTAGCAAGGAAATTGATAAGTATTATTTCCAGTCCTTCCAACAACACTGTAAAGTAAATTATTCCCATTTCATAGATGAGGAAATTGAAAGTCTGCCTTAATTTGTATACAGAAGAAAACAGGTTAAATGATGGTACATTAGTTAGAATGCATGCAGTCTAGGCTATGGCAGCGGAAAAGCCTAAAATGCAATAGCCTGAATAATTTAAGTTTCTTTTTCATGTAAAAGTTCACCTAGGTCCAGACAGTGTCAAGGACTAGCATGGTAGTTGGCAATAGAAACCTAGGCTTCATCTCCAGTGGTGTTCAGGTATTTCTCAGCACCACCGATCAAGATAGCTGCTCTGCTTTCTGTCATCTGGTGGCATGGAAAAGGGAATAGTGGAAGGTATGCCCGTTCCCTGGAAGGGCACGATCCTGAAGTTACACAAGTAACCTCTTTGAAGTTGCATAAGAAGTTTACTTCTTGCAACCAACCATTGCTGAGAACTTAATGGTTACACCTGCAAGGAACACTGAGAAATGCAGTCTGTTTTGGGCAGCCTAAGATCAACTGAAAATCAGAAACTCTGTTGTAAGGGAAGAAAGGGGACAACCAGGAGTGCCTTCTTGAATGGAAGAAAGTGTTCTTTTGAAGTCAAGGGTAAGGTTTTGTGTTTTTATTTTGGCTTCAACTGTGGTCCCTTTAGTAAACCTAGTTGTACCTTATTCAATTAGAGAGAGAGGTCCTTTGGTGACAAAAGACTTTAAATATTTAGCTTTCTGTCCATGGGATATTTTTTGTTTCTTTTTTGGTGTTTAGAACACTTGTAACCATACTATTCTTTAAAAATAAAATTTGTTTTACTAGTAAATTTACCTTATGTGGTTTAATTCCATTATCCAGAATGGAAAGACCCCAACTGTATACCATCACAGCCCTGCCAATGATGGTTTTAGATTCAGCTCTACTCTTTAACACCTGGGTGGCTGTAGACAAATTATTTACCTTCCTCAAACTTTCTTTTCCTTTCTACAAAATAGAAAAACTATAGATCTCAGCTGTGAAGATTAATTAGATGATGGATGAAAGTTCTTGGCTCACAGTGAACACTCAACAGATCATATCTATGTAACAGATATGTAGTATCTCCTCACTAATCCTATGCTATTTAATTCCTATTATTTCTAAAAATAATAATCACATCATTTTCATATCTATCACTTAATCTGGGCATCACAGTACCCTGTGAAATATGTAGAGTAGCTAATACTTAATGCTTCTACTCTTCTGGCTTAGGAAATACAAACTCAGAGAGATGGATTCGCTTGCCCAAACTCACATCTTCTCTCTTAACTGGATCCTTCTAGTGTATTTAAACTTGCTCCACTAGATAGTATGTTAAACAAATGACAAAACAGCTCCCTTTCAACCCATAATTCCCTCTGCCGCCGCCTCTCTCTCGATTCCATTTGCAGCTAAGCTTTTCAAAAGTTATTGGCGCATGCTGCCTCCAGGTCTTCGCTTCTAGTTTACTAATCAATCTGCCCCATTTGACTTAAGGCTCTTCACTAATTTTGCTTCT